GAAGTGAGGACACACAAAGACACCAGATCCAAATGCCAGATGAACAATTATTTGAAAGCACACACGTTTATCGGGCCCTTTACTGTACCTCTGCCCACTTCTGAACACACAACACCTGCTCTCCACAGACTGTCACTGATTTCAAAAGCCAGGTCAGTCAAATTGCTTGGCATCCGGAGCTGCTCTGTTCCCTGCCAACTGATTGGTCTGGTGTGCTTGTGTGACATGAGCGGACTCAATGGGATGACGGTGAGGCAGCTCTGATGCCATGGCAGCACAGCATGGGCCGCTGAAAACTCAAGGAGTCTCTCCCTGCCAAAACAACACTGAAAGGTTGATGAAGCCGCAAAGTTTAGACAACCTATCGACAAGGGAAAAGATGCATGTTACTATTAAGCTGACATTTTTTCATATTATGCAAGACTAAGGTCAGAATCTTCACAGAAAATGTCATTGTGGACTATAGGACGAGGATGTGGATGTAAAAATATTTGAGGTTTCATCGCATTTACAGTCTCTTTATGTGCTTCAAGGCTTTTTGACTTGCCACAGTGAAAATCATTAGCAGAATGTTATATAGTGCATGTCTGGATGTTAAACAGCTAATTTTCTGATGTGTGTGCAGGCAGAGTGTGGGCTCACAGCCATCACCTTCCGTGTAATATACCCACAGCTCGGAGTAAGTGGCTGTGGCTTGGCTCGCTGTTTGCAGACTTTTCAGTACCAGCCCTGGGTGATGAAGGGTGCACAAACTCCCTAACCCCCACAGCGCCCTTCTCTTTGCAGCATGTGTTTGTGAGTTTGGGTGTGTGTGTGTGTGTGTGAGACGCAGCTGTGCGCACAGCTGTCTATAGTAACATGCCTCATCTGTGTCTGCACGCGCATTCAAACGTGAGCTCAGACGGCACTGCTCGAGACTGTGTCCAACTTAGGAGAGCCAGCAGCACTGTTATAGCCCTCATGGGATCTTTTTAAGGAAACGGTGTTAAAACAAGTGACGACCAAAGACGCTGAAAAAACGAAATAGCTTCAACAGTATTCCCCCTGCCAGGCCTAAAATAGTGGAAAAATGTCAGATAAGCTATAGTAATGAATCCAGGAGGAGATGTTTCTGCAGTATGTGCCTTTTATCTATATACTTGTGTCCTTATTCATTGATGTGAATATAATCATGTTGTATTTATCCCCCCAAAATGACGCATGCAGGTTTTTAACAATGGGATGTGATTGGAATGGGATGGTTCTCCTGAAGATTTCGAGATTGGGCTTTTCTGCATAATGTGAAGCCATTATCCTGCTTCGCTGGGTTTCGATTCATGATCGTCACTGCTGGTGTGAAACTCAATCTGTGGACCAGCTTTTTGCTGTTGTTTGTTCCAAAAATGCTTGTTATCCAAGTCATTACTTTACAGAAATGTGATCCAGGCATACAGTATAGAAGTGCATAAAATCTACATGGTGGATATTAAACGGCAATTTTCGCAGAGAGACAACATTTGTGGGCAGCAGGTGAACTCAGGCATAAAACTCACCATAAACCACAAGAAATCAAAGACATTTTATGAACAGCACCTGCACTTTACATGAATGCATGAAAATCAATATTAAAATCATTATCAGTCTTTCATGATCAGATCAATAGTAAGATCAGGGAGAGGTTGTCTCTTCAGAAGACATTAGATGCTTTCAGTCCTAATATTATATCCCCATTGACAGAGAACTGGGGCACAGTGAGCATGAAGACAGCTCCAGTAGATTTAGTAGTGCTAAGAGCCCATGCTCGTCAAAACTGGCTGTGCTCATGCAGATGAGGACACATCCTGATTCTCCATGGAGCTAAAGGTTGGGCATATGTGCCAAATATGCTCTATATGTTCCATCACAGGTTTACATGTGCAGTAATGAACCTGCACATTAACATCA